TGTTCACTTTTGCCAGCATCTCTGGCAGAAGTTTTTGATCCCAGGGTGCTGCTAGAGGACCAGTCTGAGATTGTTCCTCAATGTGATTTGCCTGGAATAGATTACAGGAGCTCCCCCAAGGTACTCTGTTGGCTCAGCCATGGGCAGAGATGAATAGATGGTGAGGGAATAACTGACCAGTCTAGCTGACTTTTAAGAATGTTTGTCTACTGCCTCACTTAAATCTACATGTTTGTTTTTACTGGTATAAATCTTCCTTGGACAGACAGGCACTACCTTTGAATCTAGCCTGATATATAATTAACAGAACTGACTCCAGTACTGATTTTAGTATGAATTTATATAGGTCCAAAGATTTGCACTGGTGGACAACACCACAATCTAGGAAAGGAAGCACACTAAAGTGGAAAGCGTGTAAAACTTTGATGCCCAAGAGAAAGTTTAGTTACCTTTCTACCTACTGCCAATGGTAATAAGTCTGGATATCAAACAGTTATATGCAAGCATGTTGCTTTTTCCACTGAAGAAAGGTATTTTCCATGTTTCACTATCCATCATTTTTTCCAGTCTTACTCCCTCAAAATATGCTTCATTGGGATCACTTATATCTACCTAAAATACATCGAGAATTACAGAGTTTTTATATTTGATAGAAATCATACAGTATTCAAAACTGCTTGCAAAATACCATTTCAAACTTCCCAAGAGTTACTGTTAAACAGTAATTTACAAATATAGTTGCGATTCTGTCCCAGCAGAAATTACCTACGAGCAAACTTTCCTCAGCAGAGAACTTCTCAGTAAACGCGCTTATTATCCTAAAATCCTATCAGCAAATGAAGAAACTTCTTTAACTGGGACAATCCAAGCTGCACAGCTTTGGAACCCTGAGGTCTTAAAATATACTTAAATATACAAACATTTACACAATATAGAAAAACAGTAAATGAAGTTTGACTATTTTCACTTGCCAGACTAGCACAATTAGTTTCTCAAACTTCCCATATTACTGAAAATCTTCCGTGTTGTAACAAAAAAGAAAAAAATTTTAATCTGTTTAAGAGAACATTTATAATATACAAAGCAAATCTTTAAAGTGTGTGCTTTTGAAGAGATGGAAGACTTAATTACAAAATGCAGGGGGGAAAAATACAAGTTTTCTTTAGAGAATTTAATATGAATATTGACTTTCATCTTACCTGGAAGTAGACTGCAACTGCAAAACTGATCAGTTTACTGTTTTAATTGGGAGAAAACACCAGTTTTCTTTCTCCAGATAATCCTCCAGTTCCCAAACTGCCCATTTATCCCCATCGTATTTATGTTCATTGTGTTCTATGTTTGTGTTTGCTAAGTCCCAGCCTGACAGAGTGGAAGTTACCACAACCAGCGGAACCATTCTCACTAGTCTACCATAGGGAGTAACTGTAGTGTAATTCAACAGATTTATTCTTCAAGATTACTTTCTCTTTTATGATTGTTTTCAAAGGGACAATGTCATATTCAGAATTTGAATTCTTTTGCTGAAAATTAAACTGTGAGCAGTTTGGGCCTGCATTCTCAATAGGCTTTTTACATGGGTATGTTTATGAATTTACTCAAACATTTAAACATTCATAGAAACTACTAAGAATATGTGTTTCAGGACACAAATGTTTGTTCTTTTTGCTCTGGGACTCAGATCACAAATAATAAACACAACTCAATCTGTTCCAACCTTCATCTTCAAAAACAAACAAGCAACCCAACTGAGGAAAATTTACATGACCAGCTCTCCTTTCAATTTACATTTACTATCCCAATTTCCTTGCTAAGACTTCAGCTGAACATAATGTGTTTACTCAAAATTCTTTAAAGCAAATGTCATCCAAGTCTGAGACATCCAAGACATGCCTTTCCTAATCTGATTCTGCATGTAGCTTTCTTTCCTTCTTCCTCTTTTTTTAAGCCCAAACCAACCTTTAAGAATTACATTTCAGTATTCAAATGATTGCAATGACGTACCTTTACAGAATATTAGAAAGAACATAAAGAAACCCTTTCTGAAAAAACAGCAACTTATAATTGTCCTAATTTTTCCCAAATCTTTATGCTAATCCATTAGAGAAACCGCCTCCAGCAGGAACATAAGGCATGACTAATCACTGCTCGAATTTAACTGAGCTAATGTCTATTTATAATATAGGAAATGAAGGCAAAAAGCAACGCAGTGAATCTAATAACTGACTGCAGAGGAAATAATTTTGTTGCAAATTATTACATGCTGATGGCTCCATGTAATATAAAGAGATTCTATCCACCATAGTAGCCCCATCTTTGTTGGAAACAGAACTAGTCATATCATAAGTAAAATATTCATTTAAATATATTGCCTTTAGATTTTTAATACATGGGATATCCACACTTAGAACATTTAAAGATGGCTTTGAAGCAAAATTAAGGGACAAACTTTGTGTAAATATCTTCCTCCTCCCCTACCTGGAGCAAAATTTTTCAGTCATATAGGGGATAAAAACATTTCTTTCATACCAACTTTTTTTTTTTTTTAAACACACAAAAAAATTAGGTTCATCCAGAACATATACTGTATCTTTCAATAACTTATTTTTTCAGTATGAAATAGCATCTTCAAAAAGATGACAAACAGCAGTCATCTTGAAATGATCCTCTGAAAATAAATACTACCTGTAGAAAAAGCAGGAATAACATATGGGACTATTAAACTTAGAATTTTGCAATTTTTTTAAGTGATCTTTTGTATAATCAAAATGTAAACTACAAGATTGTAGACTGAAAAATAATTTTGAAATATTAAAAAAATAAAATGCAAACAATGTGTAATGTACAAATAAATGAAATAGTAAACAAGAAATCTGCCTAGATGAAGGAAACTCGGTGTTCATAAAGATTCTATTCAATTTCCAAAAAACATTTTTGTCTAGCATATATATTCACAGCATGTTCTCAAATGCCAAGTCAGATTTAGTAACAAGAGTATATAACGAAACATCATTTGGACACACAAAACATGAAATTAAGATAAATTTTTTTTTTAACCAATGTTGTATCAATCACATTTAAAATTTTTCTTAGAGCATGTGGTCAGATAAAACAGAAAACCAGAATGTATACATTGCTTTCTTTTAAGTAATGTTATGTACATTTTATTGCCAGTATATGCACAATGGTAAGCATAGAACTATAAATACACAATGTAATTAAACAGTAGAAAACAACAAGGATGTTACACGTAACAAAGGAAAGAGGAGATACTATTTTCTTGATGTAGCTGCTAAAAAGGGCTAGCGATGAGTTATGACAGTCTTGGTTTTAAGTCTTTACATATATTTCTACAACTTTTCCTCCAAATAAATCTCTGCAACGGCATTGCTTCTTTAACAACCACATCTTAGCTCTTTCTATTGGATTCACTTCAAACTAAAGTGAAAACAACCTTTCATGTAACTACAACATCTGACTTACTTTTTATTCAGTTTTGCTTTTCAGGGTTTCTAGCAAGTAAAGTGTATAAGTAATTTCTTATGATATTTGGCTGCAATGTTGAAGAATAGAGTTTTGAATACACACTAAGTGATAATTTGAAGAAAAAAAAAAAAAGAAGATTTTCTGTAGATAGTTCTTCCACCGGGTGCTATATGCAGCAGCTCAGTCAAAAATTAGTCACCCTGAAGAGGTAGAGAGAATTTTGCCTAGCATAGATCATCATCCTTGGCACTGCTATTTTCTCTCTTATCAGGATACACTTCCTACAACTAGACAACATCACAGTCAAAGGGAAAAAAAGTCAGGAAAAAAAAAGTTCCACCATTCCTGGGAAGGGCACTGTTTCATCCCAGTTCTCAGTTAATTAGCTTGCTGCTTATATCCAAGACCAGAAAAAAAGAAAAAAAAAGAAAAAGAACAGTTAGGGACACATTTACTTGATCTTTGTTCTCTTTCCATTATCAAGTTCATAAATACAAAGAACCATTATTCACAATAAACTAACTCTTTTTCAAAAATGGAAAAACAAACCCTGGAAACATTTCCACACCTTAATCCAGATGGGTCTTGAGGATGCTATTCAAGAAAACCATGCAAATAATTTGGTGCAGCTTTCCCAACTCATCCAAAATATATATTTTTTTTTTTTTTTTTTTAAATTAAAAGGTGGCAAGATCCATAGCATTTGTGACTATTCCCCCTCCCCCCCATTTAAATTCAATGCAGAAAATCTTGGTGCTTTTAGGAAGGTAACGAATAAATAGTTTTCTGCACTGTTGTCATAAAATCCCATGTGAGTTACAATACAAGACTACTTGTTCCAGCAATTAGGTTGAGAGGAAACATTCTAGTGATAAAGATAAATACATACTGAGCATGCTTGGGCAGAGCACTCCATTCTGAAGCATCCTGCTTGAAGAACGAAAGGTGACAAGGATGGTTCACGTCCATCAAGTGACCATTAACTCTGCTGCTAAAAAGCAGACTGCCACACTATCACCAGGTCGGCAATGCTACCCTGAAAGGGCTGTCTTCCACATTAAGAGGTACTGGTTGTACCAGTCCTCTACTGCGCACACTAAATTCTTATTTATGCAACAAACATACAACCAATGAACAATATCACTTTTACAGAACTGGATCAATCCAGCTTTTTTTTATAGGCATATTTCTCAATCTCCAGAATATCCCAAACAAGCTGTAAATACGATGAACCACCAACACAGTGAACAAGTCTCACTGCAGTTCAGACTAGTTCAGCCTTGGTTCACATCACTTCTTGTTTCTAGCGAAGGACATGATACTCAAACAAAATAGCAATAAAAAAGTAATGTTATCTCCAGCTGAATAAAAGCAACAGAATTTATATTTTAACTTCTGAAGCTTAAAGCATACCTTTTTAATTAGCATTAAAAAAATCTTTTTTTTAATACAATAACACTGGCAAAAGTTAATGGGAAGACACAGAGGATTGCGAACAGGATAACTGATGGATTAGATTACTTTTCAATTTTATTCTGCTTTGATCAACTGATATTAATACTGTTTTTCCTTGGATTTGGAATAATTCTATTGCAACAGTCACATGCAGGCTGAGGACAGCCGTTGGTTAAAGAAAAAAAAAAAAGAAAAAAAAAGAAAGGGAAAAAACCAAGAAAAAAGTTCCAAAAGTTGTATGTAAGAATTTTCCTTTCACTGAAGAGGGCCTTGCCCTTGCTTTAGGAGACCTGGTTAACTCTTGTCAGCTTCATTAGCTTTGTCCAGACATATCTGCTGTTGTATCCCCTGGTCCAGAGCCTGTTTGTGCACGTTTGATGTAAAGGTTCAATAATTTCATCTGCAAATTCAAGCCAGAAATTCACTTTGTTTAGTATTTGCAAACTGTACAGACTACAGGAATGGTACAACAAAGGAGACATTAAATCATTTTCTTTTCCCCAAAAGCAAAATTATATTTTACATAGTTGATTGAAAGGTAACATACTTGCCAATGAAAACATCAAACACAGCAAAATTTGTCACAAGGAAACCGCTCAAGCTTCTTTAAGCATGTAAAGAAGAGAATGATCTATGGTAGCTAGATTAAGATAGATGCACTATTTTCCTCAAATTGCAATGCTGTTCTAAATAAGGTAGGTTTTGGGTTTTTTTTCTTTTAAGTTAATGTTGAGGTTTTAAGCCTCTAGTTAAGAGTTGTTGATGCTGGTACTTACTAAAGCTTCCAATACTGTCTAGGATCACATTCAAGACAACCACTGTCAGAGAGTATTTTTAAGAAATAACTGTCTTACTCAAAGATATACAGAATTAATTGTCCTGTTTTATTCCCAACGACAAAGAGATTCACAATTAACATACAGCTGTTTGCATGCAATGTCAGAGATGTTGATAAAATCATAGATATCCTGAACCAAAAAGGACAACAGAGTGATTACTATTATTATTTCAAATTAGAGTACTGGAAGGACTGATGAAAGCAAAATAACAAGGAGGGAGAATAAATAAAACTGCTGTAACATCTACATATTACATTTATTGCTTTCCGATCAGAACTTGCATGAAAAACAAGACAAGAAATACTGATAGGAGAAGCCATGCTGAGTATAGCCATTATCACTACTACCAGGGATACAACGAGTAACTAAATGCATTAAACAGCAGTAAGAAACATAATATAGTATTTTTCTTAATGCTAAAGTTCATACACTTGCATAAATAAAGATCTATGGATTTTCCGTTTTGAACATTTTATGACAAAGTTACATTAATCCTTGGAGGGTTTCAGTAGCCCTGATATTCAAGTATATACGTTTATGAAACTTTCTGGCAATTGCAACCAAAATGCAAATGCATACATGCAATTATGAACCAAGATTTCTTTAAATGGTATCTTTTACTTACTTTACTGCCAGTGAGTTGACTGAGATGTGGTTTTAGTTCATCACCAATTACTGCATGAATGGCTACAAGGCAGAAAACACATGCCTTTCGAACACTGCTCTCTGAATTATCATAACCCTAGAAAGCAATAAAATTAACATTAATACCTTATCAGTTAATGATTAAAAGCCTCAGAAAGCTATTTACTTATTTACTATAATAAACACATTGAAGTCTACAGTAAATGAATGCTAGTGTAGCCCAATGAAGCATTCCAACAAAAACCCAAACACGCAAATACAGAGCATGCACTTAAAAAGCAGGCTGCTTATGAATCGCTATTGATAATCATTTTCCAGACTGAAATTAAAACGCACATAATTCTGTTCATAAGTTACACTGAAAACAGAGTTGCTGTCATGCAATAGGGCAGTACGTAAGAGAAATTGTTCTAGATTATACAGATATTTACTTAAAGCAGAAGACCACTCCGTTTAGAGCTTCCTTACTCTGAAAGAAGTAATCTCTTAACAACTAAAAACTCTTTTGTTAACTCCCATCTTGTTCCTTAATGATTTTGTTTCTTTTGCCACTTTGCTAGTACCGCATGCCTGGCTGTCTCACTCACACCCCCTTCTCAGAGGGCCCCTTCTCTGCCTCCACCTTCCTGCAGATGTATGATTGGCTCACACGCATTAAAGACAGAAATCTGCAGAATGCAGCTGTCAAACTCTGAAAAGTCTTTATGCAACACGTGCAAATTAACATATCTTGCTCTTGATAAGGTGGGAAAGGTTTTATTGTTAAAGACAAAGGAAGACAAACCTCTGATATCCTTCTCGTTTTATTAAACTTTCCCCAATCAACTGCTGCTTTCCTCCCCCAAACCCCAAGTGATAAAACCCTACAATTATACACAAATACAACATGGACACTTTCAGTCCAAATGATTACAACTTGGAAAAAGATAGAAACAACAAAAAAACTCTCTCATAACTGAACGTATCTACCAAGCTTAACTATAACCAGTACTTCATAACCTACTGAGATTTCCTCTGAGTTCTAACCACAGTTATAATTTAGCTACCTGCCAATCAAAGAGTTTGTTCTCACTGAGTTATTTTGGGTCAAAGCAGCCATCAGCTATCAGACAAATAAAATCCTTCATGAGTTCCAAGTGATATTATTTTTTAAAAGTCTTTGCAATTCTTATATATATGGTTTATTTTTTTTTGTTTGTTTGGTTTTTTCTTCTTCTTTTCTTTCTTTCCTCCTTCTCTCCTTACCTGTATTAGACCTGGCACAATCTCTGGTAAAAGCTGAGTAAGGGTTTCTTTAGATACTCTTTCTATGACTTTCGTCTGCATTTTGATTGCAGCCAGATTAATGGGGTAATCTGCCGTTTGGATAATTGGACAAAGAACTTTGATGCACTGATCTGGGCTAATGGAAGTGGCCAGCATGGAAGCAGCTTCTTCAGCAGATCTCACCACCTATTTAAAGAATAAGTAAAAGACATGGAAAAATTATTTACAAGAGACTGTTACTATGGCCTGTTATCTCGCAGGAATGGTCTTGAGCATAAAAATTTCCTACCCAGAGCTCTACAATATTGTAGAAATATGTGAATAAAGAGCCTTCTGAAAATCTGTTTACAAGATTCCAACTGTTGGATGTACTTTCCTAAAAACAAGATTCTTCCCAATATTCTGTGGCTAATCTGTATCTGTGGCTAATCTGTATCTGTGGCAATATGCATATCAGTTTTTCAAACCTGCTTGTTGAATCGGATCTGAAGTTTCTCTATTCTGCAATACCCTCCCAACTACATATTGAGATATCACCACCTTTGTAAATCTGTAATTTCTTGTCTTGTCATTTGTTATTGCGTGTTAGGTCAGCGACCACTGACAAGACATGTTTTCACATTCATCTCAGAATCATGTTTAATGACATGCCTAGATTGCTACTTTTAGAAGTCAATCTAGCTGTTTCTCCTCCCCTCTAAGTTTGAAAGAAACTATGACAAGAGAGTACTTTAAGCCTGAAGAATATGAAGAACAAGCAGAACTAGAGTAATTAGGTAGGAAGTCAATAGGTACAGAAGCTCGGGATACAACATGAGCACAACAGAGAAAATTCACATATTAGTGCAGCTGTGGCGTCTGCCATCTAACAAGACAAACCGCTGTACAAAATCAGCGTCAGTGACACTGATGTGAAATGTTTAATATTGGGGTCATTACTGTATTTGTGTTTCTTATATCTACACGCATTATCCTTTATTGTGTATGCGTGCATCACAAATACTTCTGAGCAAGATTACAGTTATCCTTCTACTTCTGAATCAGCCACTATTCTCGGCCACAACGAACTCCTCCCTTTGATATGTTCCTGTGCGTTCTCCCCTAACAACATTCAAAGCCAAGCTCTCGAATGGTGCAGAGCTGGCTAAAATTGGAAAGGGTTGACAATTCCTTGCCATGTTCGGTCCCATCTCTCAACCATGAACCTTAATGAAATCCAAAAGCTTGTTGTAGAGCTCCAGGACACCCATATCTGGCTTAAGACATCATGCAAGGAAAAAACTCCCTTCGTTTACTCCCTGAGGAGCTATAATGACACATCGTTGGTTACTATGTCCTCTTGGACAGCACCCAAAGCAATTGTTATTAGGGCTGATATTAAGCATTTGAGAGCTTATAAAATTGCAGTTGTTCTTTTTCTTGCATACCCATGTTAACTAATAACAGCTGAATGCTTGATTATTAAACAAATTACTTCCTCAGTAAGATCTAACTAACTTCTCAAACATTTTTTGGACAGCTGTTTCATTTTGAAATAATTTGTCATAATCTCAAGCAAATAGAATAACTGATTACTAACCTCCTTATGAGGATCCTTATGTGCTTCTAATGTCTTCATGATTGTGAGCTCTGCATAATTCTTAAACCTTGCTGGCTGGTTTCTTAGAATTTCTCTTAGAACTTTCAATGCCAAAGCTCTAATAGCATGCTAAAGATTTAATATTAAAATAAATGAGTTATGTATCTTTAAACAGACATACGTTTTAACATTTGTTCAGCAGCTGGAAGAGTCTTCGATAATGGAAAAATACCAGCTTATGCTCTACGCAAATATTTAAAGCATGAACCTAGTGTTAACAAATAAAGCTAGGAAAAAATCTTCAGTTTCTCACTCTTCTTGATCTCTCTTTTTGCAGATAATTCAGGTGGCATATCATAAACATGTTCCTAACCTGAGTTATCTACTTTACCCAGAAGTTAAGTTGCAAACAATTTAACTCTTCACAAGTGCTGATAAAACCTTTAGCATCACATCATGCAAGTACATTTTTTAAAATTTTTTTACAAATTATTATTATTTTTTAAATCAAAACCAAGTATTAGTGTCTTTTTGATCCTCAGTAATTTAAAAAACATGGCCCTTGCAGAGAACCAATTACATAGAACTCAGACTCTTCACAATAAGCATGGCTGTATTTTAGAAATATATTTTTAAATGCTTTGCCACACATGATGTTTTTATATTCTAGATTCCACCAGGGGCTATTAACAGGTAAGCTTTGGATCCCAGTGAAAAATGTTTCATTTAATCTATCGCATGGGAATTGACAAATAAGAATACTTGAGAAGGTAAGTATTACTGATGCCCTTTTCACAATCAGGGCATTCAGACTTCATGACATTTTTGTATTTCCACAGTTTTTTATTTTTCAAGGCTAACTGGAATTTGTGCCCTTCCTACAACCCATACAAATTCCAAAGATACTGAAAGGAAACCATGTGCTTTGTTAACATTCTTAACTGGATTAATCTGAATTTACCTCTTTATCTCCAAGTGTTTCAAGCAGCAAAAGTAGTATTGTTTTGAAGTGCTCATCCCAAACACCAAAAGACTCTTCCTGAGTTAACTTCATGAGCTCGTACAGGGCAGCCTTTCTTTCCTCAACTCTCTCATTATGGTTTGATAACTCTTTCAGTAACTCTGCAACCAGATCAGAATGGTCCATGGGAGGCTCTGTCAAAAAGGAATACACACACACACAGTTCTTAGATCATTGCAAATAAATATTAGTGCCTGCTGTACAACTGAAGGATATTTTCTAGGATGGCTAGCTGGCTTTCTAGCATGCTTTTATTTTTTTCCCTGAATTTGTCTGCAAAAATTGCAATTTGACTACTACATTTTCAGTGCAGTCAACATTGCTAACAAGCTTACAATCACCAAAAAAACCCTACAATGATATTGCAAAAAATCCCCTGTAAGCTAATTTACTGCAAGAGTTTTTATGCCTGCAATACCCAAAGTGATAAGTACTCTGCATCCTTTCAAATCTGATCTATACACGAAGTGCTACCTTTTCCATATGACCCTTCCATCCAAGTTTATACCTTTGTCTTTTCTCTATTAGTATGACAGAATTAGGCTTTTGTAAGCCATGGTTCCACAGCAATAGCTAGGCTGTTAACACAAACAGGGAAAAAAAAAATGCACAAGAATGGTGCTTGGTACAAAATAGCTGAAATAGAAGCAAACCAAAGCCATTAGTCCCACAGAGGTTCCCAATAGCAGTCATTACGAGGTGGCTCTGGATTTTAGTTTTGATTAGAGAGGATTCCATGATGATGGAAAAATGCATTAGTAATACAACCCATATTTGTAAACACTGGACTGCGAACAGAGAGATCTGCAAACAGTCAAGAAACTTAAAAACAGCCTTAATGAAAATTAAATATCAAGTTGTTGCCTTTATTCCATCATCAAGACCCATTTAGCCTTTAAGAAAGAAAAGCATATAGCTTCCATCTTTGCACTGAGACTTCTGGATAAATTAACAGAAACACACATTTTTTTCTGGAAAAAGGTTGAAAGTATTGGCATAAAATGCAAATGTTCCTGCATTGCATCTTGCCTAAAATGATTCCATTTATTGACACATTAAATACATTCTCCATAACAAATTTATTAGGTCATATACTGAGAAACCGCAGCCCTTCAACATCTTATATTACTGTATCCAATATTGTAACTTATAAATGCTGTACAGAGCACCTATACAAAGAAACAAGTAAAAGCTGAATACTACCTATCAAGTATCTCAAAATCACACATCAGCTACCTTAAAAATCACAGTTTTTGTACCCAACATTCCTATTTGCATTCTGTTTTGCATGAATAATCAGGAGCACGAGCACCTGAAAGCAGAAAATTTTTTCTGCAAGCACTTCTACTGCCTCTATATTAATGCATGCTTTGCAGACTCTCTAAATGGATCATTAATGTTTGCCTAAAGGACAGACTGAAATTACATTAGGAAGGTTATTAATTAGTACAGATGTGCAGAACGGACAATCACTTTTACAGAAGCAAGATCATTACTTTTATTACCAGAACTATTACACTTGTTCTACCAAACTGTGAGGATGTCGTGGTTTAACCCCAGTCAGCAACTAAGCACCACACAGCCACTCACTCCCCACCCAGTGGGATGGGAGAGAGAATAGGAAGGGCAGAAGTAAGAAAACTCATGGGTTGAGATAAGAACAGTTTAATACTTGAAATCATCATCATAGTAATAGTAATAGTAATTAAGAGGAAACCAGAGAGAGAGAGAGAGAACCCAGGGCAAAAAAAAAAAACAAGTGATGCAACCGCTCACCGCCCACCGCCCACCACCCAGCCAGTCCCCAAGCAGCGATCACGCCCCTTCCCCCAATTTATATACTGAGCATGATGTCATATGGTATGGAATATCCTTTTGGCCAGTTTGGGTCAGCTGTCCTGGCTGTGCCCCCTCCCAGCTTCTCGTGCACCTGGCAGAGCTTGGGAAGCTGAAAAGTCCTCGACTCCCGTAAACACTACTTAGCAACAACTCAAACATCAGTGTGTTATCAACATTATTCTCATCCTAAATCCAAACCACAGCACTTATACCAGCTACCAGGAAGAAAATTAACTCTATCCCAGCCGAAACCAGGACAGAGGATTACAACTATAGTAAATCCTGTTTTGGGGAATGCATATTGACACATTAATTAGCAAAACTATCCATATCTATTTGAATAAAGTTATTTTCACTGTAGGAGTATGACAATGAAATAAGTGGCAACTTGAATGTATGGAGGGAAGGGGTAAAGAGAGGCGAAGGTAGCAGCCATGTCCATGCAGAAATAAGGGGAGGAAAGAAGCTCCATTAGTGCAGGAAATAGCTGGAATTCCTGAAAAACATGAAAACAACCAAGAGGGATGTGCCTTCACAGCCTGTATTTTCCATTCCTCCGTATGACTTAGCACCCAGTGTTTCATTTCCAAACATTCTCCAGATAAGAATGGAGAAGTGTAAAAGTCATCATATTCAAAGTCTACTCTCAAAATTTCTTTTTCAGAGAGAAAACAAAACACAAACAAGGAGCAGATGCAATTCCTTCATCTGAATGAATTAAAATATGCATTAGACAGAAATATTTGATGAAGAACAGCTCTTCTCAAACCAATCAAATAAAAGCCTTTTGACAGGATAAACAGTGTAGGGGTTAAAAGGGAAAATGTAGGTATGTCCTGAATTTAGTAAAGATTTTCCCACTGGCACCCACAGCATCTTAATACAGAAGTTACGCAAGCTTGGCCAAAAAAGCCAACGAAGTGGGTGCAAAACTTGATGAATCACTTACAAGGTGATGGGACTATAAATGGCTTTCTACTAATCTAGGAGGATACGAATGATGTCCCTGCTCGGGTCTGTGCAGAGCCTGGTTCTGTTTGATGCTTTTGTTCATGCTATCGAAGAAATATAGAGACCACTTATAAAATCTGCAGATGACATCAATTTAAGAGCAGTTGCAAACATTCTGCAGAACAGGATAAAAATTGAAAATGATCATGATAAATCAGAGGAACGGTCTGAAAGAAAAAAGTGTAAGGCAAGACACAGAAGCAGAAATCTTAAGCCCGTATACAAAGTGGCAGGTAAAAAGGAAGATGTTTGGAAAACACAGTCCATGGAATTAAGCTGAAATAAATAAGCTGCTTTGAAGAGGAACACTGTTTTTCAACCAGAGCTGGTGGACTGCTTTTAAGGAGTCTGGAAGCGACTTAGAAAGGCAGGTTTCCCTATGCTTCAGATAAAGAGCATCTCCCTTGGGGCAGGGGGGGTGGGGAGAAAGTGCTAGTGTTGGAAGATTTAGGCTGTTACTCTGAAAACCTTTTTACTGTAAGAGAGGCAAAACACTCAAATGGCCACATGGAGTACACTGTAGCGTCTCCTCCACTGGAAATTTTCAACTGTTAGACAAACCATCTGCAGAATACATGTTCATGCCTCAGTGCTGTTGGTGGACTATATAGGCAGTTATGGTTTTTCCATCTAGCCCTGTATTTCTGCATCTTTCTCCCAGTAACTCTCCCCTATGCGAGGATAGCTGGGAGCCCAGTAAAAACAGGACCTTCTGTCATTAACAGGCAGCAATTCTGTGAAGTTTCTGAAAATTAAAATCTAGCGTCCAACGAGCACTTCAGGTTTATGGGAAAAGCAGCATGCAACTCCTAACTGAGGAATTGCAGGCACAAAGTATTTTGCCAAGTGTATCTTTTTTCATGCAGACTTTTTCAAAGTTATCTTAGATAAAATTCTAAAAGTAACACACAAATGACAGAATGCACAGGGTATAACTAAAAACTAAGGGCGAACACAGGAATGAATGCAAGTACTTTGTTAAGATCCATTAAAGACCAGACCTAAATAATGCATTGCACTAATCCTCCAGCCAGGACAAACTAATACTGGATCGGGATGCTTCACTCCAGCCAGTCATGAGTTTTTACAAAACTAGAACATGCTGGCGCAGCACAGATTGCATTCGGTTTAATGCAATATCCAGAAATACGTTGTCAGAAGGTATAAAGAGGCTTATCCCATGTAACAACAGGATCCCTGTAATACAGAATCTCAATCATAAACTGGCTCTGTATGTGGATGACAAAAGTATTTAATTATTGATATTTATGTGACATGATTTGTAAAAATTTTCTTTCCCCTCAATCTTTTTCAGAAGATAATAATTGACCATATGCCTCTTCACTAAACAGAAGAGAAAACAAAGAAATGCACCTTACTTGGATTTGGTTTTAATTTAATGTAAACTTGAAGCCAACTGATAGAATAGCTGAATAAAACACCAACTCAGAAAATAGCTTTGTTTTTCAACAGTTCCTGTAACACTTCTTTGCTAGATGACAAAAGAAAACCAGTCAGAACAGGGGAAAATTCATTTGTCCCTCACTATTAAGAAATTTGTTTACTTAACAACTGATTTTATTCTATAACTGAATATGAAATAGTAACAATAATGAATACCAGATTATAAAAACCACCTACTATTTAAAATAACGATAGTAGTGATACTTTGAAACCTTCCCAACATTTAGATATAAAAAATTACCCAAAGATATACTGAGAGATATTAAAAAGAAGGTCTAGAAGCCTACAAAACAACAGCCTAAGTTCCTAGATTTACATGGGCTAAATGAACCAACTTCCTGGGAAAAGCTGGTGGGTTTTGTTTGTGTGTTTTTTGGTGTTTTTTTGTTGTTGTTTTGTTTGTTTTTTTAAAAGAATGTTTAGTCAATAGAAAACGCCAATGTCATGTTTCAAATACAAATATATTACTAACAAAACAGTTAATCTTTCACCTAATTCCCAAACTGGTTTGATCCAGTTTTACTTCCTTGCTGAAAATATCTGCCCCCCACCCCACCCTTTAAATTTCAATCATAAAGCAATCTGGTAACTAAATTTATATTGACAATTACAGGATGTGCTACCAGAAGTATACAATATAGTTCAGTATTTCTCATTTTTTACCCTTAATCTCTACAAATACCAAGTAATCCAACAATGTCACTCAAAAGGATTACTAACAAAGAATAATTCGAAATACAGTATTTATAAAAACCTCTCAAAGAAGCAGCACTGGTGCAATATATATTGCACTGGTGCAATATATATTGCTAATAATAAATTCAGAAACTGAACTAAAGGAGGGAAAAATCTCACCATTTTTCTTTAGCACAGAATGCAATCTGAAGCTTACCATCAGGAAATTGCTCTGCATCATCATCAAACATGGCTTCTTTCAAAGCAGATTTATTAAATGAACTGATAGCATCAGAATAATTGTATGGGTTATAATCTCGTGAACGTGGCGAAGAGTGGGGAGGCATTGTGTTGAGTAATGATGTTTTGTTATCAAGAGCTGTTCGGCCTGTATCGCTCACACCACTTCCTGCTCGTAGGTCTACTATTCCAGAAGCACTGCAAATCTGCAGGAAAAGAAATATCATAGGAGCATATGAAATACACACTTACGCTTTTCACTTAACTACATTACTAATTCATCTATGTAGAAAAACTTAGAAATTTCAAAAAGTTTACAAATTTCAAAAATTTCAAACTAGCCTTCAAATAAGAAGTCTTAGAAGCAGTTCCCTAAACTTTGCTTTCCTTCAAAAAAAAACCAAAGAAAGCGTACATAGTCCAAAAAAATTCATGAACTAGAAACAGCTGTCAGTATTTTATCTCAGATGTTTGATGCTAAGAAATTAAAAACATGTTTAAGCACATACATAACTGGTAAGCTCAATAAATCTGAAAATCAAAGTTCCATAGAAACAGAAGTTTAAAACACTGCATGTAGCACTGAAAAACCCACAGGTTTTGTACAGAATAAAAACAAAACCTTTGGAAAAACATATATTAAGGTGCAGACCTCTCAAAAATGAACTCCAGCTGTTTTGCAAGATAATCTATTTTAAAATTGCTAACATTTTAAATAAACAAACAGCTAGCGCTACTTAGAATTAGCATTTACATTTCAAAAATGTGGTTCAAGACTAGGAACATATTTTTCTAAAGCTCTGAAGTAATTTAGGAGAAACGTCCCATTTCAGAAGTCATAACATATAAACCTACTGAAAAAGATGCTTTATCACCTGTAGTAAATCAGTAATTGGCTTGGCTTGCTGATACCAAGATGCACTGAGTTTAAATACTCACTGAATCGCCATCATCTTTTTTGGAATCTCGTTTTACAGGCTCATTCATATCTTCCTGGCTACGAAAACTGAAATTCTGAATGGCTTCAGTGACTCCACGAAGAGAGCTGTAAATATCTTCAGAATTCATATTTTCAGTGTCATAGTCAAATGCACTGTGGGCCACAGAGAAGGACATAGAAATTACGATGGACTTACTTTGTGACCCCAGATTTTTAAATAACATTAGCATGGAACTACAGAGACTCAAGAAATAGTAATAAAATAATTATTTTTCTTAAAACACATTAAGGAAGAAAGCTGGCTCTCCACATAAGAAAATTGTGCTATGGTACATCTTAGTAAGTGTACTGCCACTGACAGAAAAAGCACTGGGAGTAGCTAGCTAAGGGAAGGGCTACATTATGCAACAGCATCTGCCTGAAGAAAGAAACTTCTTTTGCTCTGTTTTATGAGTATGAAACAACTGGGATTTTTACATCATTCTCTCTGAAAAAAGTTCCAAACTGAGGAGGACTGATAAAATAATTTTCAAAGTTGATTGCTAAAAGGCAAAATTACAAAATCCACTTCACTGGCAACATCGGTATCACAAAATTACAGACCTGAACATTTATGAACTACTACTTTTTTAGTCTCCCCAATATTAAGTCTGGGTTGATGACCTAGCTGACCTATTCTAACACTTGCTAGAGATGAACACTTCCATTTCTTCTCTTGCTAATCCATTCGCACTCCAAGGTGCACAGCCCTTCCCACCTCAGGTCAGCCCTGGCACTTGTCAGACCCTTCAGGGAGGCTAAGTAGTTCACTGCACTGTCATTCTGTGGAGGGAGGAGGATAATTTTTCAGCATCTGTCACTTTGTGCAAAATTCAGTCCACGCTTTCACTGTTGGGGTTACAATCTTGGATAACATGTAATGAAGCCTTAGATGCAGAACTGTAGCAACATCAGCCTACATTACCTTGGTGACAAAGTGTTCTGCGATGTATTGGTTGGGGAAGTGAGAGGACTTGACCAACTTGCTGGGGAGCGTGGAGTAGGTCTTGTTAAAGGACTTCCCATTGATCCCTGGAGGAGGAGAGGTGAGAAGAGATACTCCAGTAGGACTTCAGCTTCCCTTTTAACTTATTATTGTATTTATTTATTTTCTAGTGCCCAGAAACATTTAAAGAGCTTCTATTTAGTTTCTTGGATTGGCTAATGAATTACTAGTAACTTAAATCAGGTATAACTTTGAAACGAGTAAAGTAAAAGATAAACTACTCTTAAAAAGCACATTCAAACTAAGTCACTTGGAAGCAACATAGAAAGTATCATTCTCTGGAGGAAAAAGAAAAGGCATTCCATAAAGAGTGATATCTGGTATTAAGACAGACTTCTACATAGGATTTGGGTTGCCTCCCCTCCTCTACCAACTTTCTTGCTCTTCCAAATAACTCTACTGAAACGGACTTATGTTCAAAACACCAGTAAGTTCAGAAAGAATAATGAGAGGTGCAGATACCTGACCACTGTTGCCTGTATTCCGGAGATGATTATGGAGAAGCTTTGTGGCTCCATCCTGAAATGTTTTTGGTAAAGCACCCAATAGCATTGTAAACTCTGGGGTGTTGAGTTCAAAAAGGGAAATCAGCACTGATTGTGCAGCCTAGAAGATGATAGAGATTGAAGACATTAATTTGAGTTTCTAAAGTAATTTTATCAGCAAGAGATGCTATAATGAATGGTAATCACAAAACATGACTTAAGTCTTGATCAAGCTTGAATAAAGATGTTAACAGATGTGAACAAAAGCAATTCATATTTGCTGGTAAGCTGGAAGTTCAGATATTGATAAATCCAGGCACACAACAATGAGCTTACACTTTACACAATCATTCTAACAAGCAGTCTTTCAGAAACGTGCTCCTCATCTCCCCCCCCACCCCCACCCCAGATCCCTACTTACTAAAAAAGTACTGGAATTCGCAAAATGGCTTTTAAAGGGTTTGGCAAGTTGAACAAATTTAAAGACAGGAATGGAACACGCCAGGCAGGAACGAGCCGGCAATGCCTTCTCCTGAGTTCTGCAAGTGGTAATTACAGATGATGGATAATCAATACACTAACTTGAAAAGGAACAGTTATCACTTTAGAAATTAAAAAAAAACCAAACCAAACTGATACCCTAATTTGGAATGAGACGGTCTTGATTTTGAGTTGTGATCACAGCACTTGATACTCTTTATAACTTATCCTACACCTGAACTAGTTAGTTAACCTTCCCCCCTTCCCGCCCTGCTTCCTTTATCTTTTTAAAAGGTAGGCAAACATCATGAGGAATAATTTAGCTGACTACATATTTTAAAGATGAAAACTGTTAAGTATTGGAGTTTGTAGTCTACTGGTTGCCACCTCCCACACCCTCAATTTTAATAGTTCATCTTTAATGTTATCCTACAGCATGTTTTACTATATGTATTTTTTTTATCTGAATCAAAAATGAGAGCTCTTTACTGACAAAGCAACACAGTTACGCAATGGTTGGGTTCCCTCTAGTAACGGAATGTTGACTGCATGACTTAGTAATGTTTGTACAGTTTGATGAATATTCACTGAATAGGCTAACAAACCTGTCAACATAGCAACTGAACTAACACATGCAATGAAGGGCTAGAGATTAAGTTCTCCGGAATTGTTTAATAGTTTCTTTGTAGTACAAAACTCTGATTCTAAGATTAACCAACTATGTCTAGTTTATACAGCTCGCCATCAAGGTCTGCCACACACTGGAGAGAACCAGTGCCTCACGCTAGAGAGAATGATAGGCAGCTTGTTTAAGCAGCAATATACTTCAAGCAAGTAGTTTAGAAAATTCTTTTAGACATTTATTTCCCTCCTTTTGCTTCCAGAGCAATGAACTGTAGCATTTTTTAATTAAAAGTGGAAAGCCAAAGTATGAGCACACATACCAGCACACATCTTAGTATTAAGTTTAATGACAAAAATACTAACATGTTAGATTACCACAAATTATCTTTGCACACTCGTGACTGGCTGTTTTCTTTAACTCTTATTCCCTTCTCCCTCTGATAGCCTTCCCTTCAAGTGAACACCCTGAATGCCCTCTACAATCTGTCTTTAATGTTTCCCTTGTTATTTCTTATGGTTAGTCTTCAAGAAGGAAATTGGTATCAGTATCAGAAATTGATACAAAGCAAAACCAAAACAAATCCTGCAACTGAGCAAAGGCTGGGAATTACCACTTTCCTTTTTCTGTCCTGTTATCCATGTCTCCACTCCACAACACTGTCTATTTAAGCTGCCAATAAAATAACACAATAGACAGTCCACAGTCGTATCAGCAAAGGAACAGATACTATCAAGTCTGCCCAGAATGAAGCTCCAGCTAAAGTATCAAAATTAATATTGACTCACAGAAGGTTTTCAACTACGTAATTATCTATTTTCTCTCCCTCTTCCTTGGGGGGGGAAAAAAAAAAAAAAGCATTTTAGAGTATTTGGAGGCTTTTCTCCTCAGCGTAAGCTCTCTCTCTTGAGATTTAAGTCCAGTCACACAGATAATATCTTTAAAAGTCTGCAATAAGGATGAGAAATATTTGTTTGGTTTGGTTTTGTTCTTAGAAGAATCCTAAGAAGATTCTAATTCTTTTCAGAGGAATTCTAATCTTAGAAGAAATCTAAGTTCTGAAACATAGAATTTTATCTTCCAGAAAAGTCCCATGTCACTGAACTGCAGTAAGTGTGCCCAACTTTAGACTAATAAAAGAAAAAGGGATTTTTCATAATACTTAGTACTGGAAATATTTTTATTGAAAAAAAGAAACAAACCCATCAATTACACAGAAATACACTTGGCAAAAACTTTTAATTTAAAGAAATCATTCTAAATGCTATAAGCTTATTAAAATAAATAAAATGAAAAAGCCTGTGATAAGCAGGCTGTGAAACCTGTTAAGAGAATGAAACATTTTATACCATCAGAATAACTCTTTTGAACTACTTATTCGTGAAATTTTATTTTCAGGAGTTATTAAAGGCTATTGGCAGTTAGCTGCCTCTAACAGCTGTGTTATGGAAAGAAAAAATAAAATAAGAAAACTTCATATCATTAAGGTGTTCCAGATGACTAAACTCACTGGCAATTCTTTCCATGATTCAGTTACTTATTGGCATAAAAATGCTTATTAGAGATATGAACCATCAGATAAGACAGCTTGCCACGTGTCTTAGTACTAAAACTTTACTGATTTAGAAGATAGTGCTGCTTCAATTCTCCTCCTGTTTTATAGTCTTATACATGTCACTAGGACATGGTACTAGGCAAGAGAAGTCCATAGGATATAATCTGTTACTGCTTTCTCATACTCGTGAAGTTATATAAGAAGTGAAAGACAGAGACATTATCTCCAGTATAAACTCTCCTATGTTTTTTTATTACATATTACAAACATTCCAGATATCAAGAAGTTGTGGAAGTTATTTTTATTTTTGTTCTCTTCACATTACGCACTTAGTGAAACAGCTCCCACTGTTTTCTCTCAATTCTCTCCCACAAAACATCCCTCCTAAAGAAAGGAAGTTTTGGTACTGTTTCCAGAAATGATGAAGTTGCCAAAAGTCAAACGTAATTGAAAATAGCAAAGGAAATCTAAACAAATAAATTGTTCCAACTCTTCAAACTGAAGAAACAAAGAGAGAAAAAGGAACAGAAGAGTTAGTTCTCTGTGTCAAAGATGCTTGCATTTGTAAGATAAAGTAAATATGTTTATTTAGCATTCAAAAAGCATTAGCATGCTGATAACAGCAGCTAACACCGAATGGCTGGTGACAATCAGAACAAAACCAACAAAACTCTACTCCATCAAACTGCAAACAAAATTAAAATATTTTTGCTTTCTATAATCGGAAAGACTATTTAGAAACCCTTTCCAAAGACTGCATTAGTACATTTCTCATGGTTATTCTGTATCCCTGGTATATCTACACAGCTCACAAATACTAATTTTCTCTTCACAACAGTTATGTGGAAAAGAGAGTTTTGCACTGGAACTGCAGCATTACAAGAACAAACCTTTGATACTACCTTATTAAAGCACAAACTTTCTTTTGTCAAAGGGTCAACAGTTATTCACCTATCTTTTGTTAAACAGAAAGGATTCGAGAAAATTCAACAGATTGAACTGAATTTGCTACCAAACTTACCATTCCTGTTAAGAATGTGCTATTAGTATCACAGAGGGTGGTCTCTGAAGTAATATTAAAACTATAGAAAATGCCCACTGAAGAGATTTTAATACTAGGTAGTGCTTGAAACAAAGTTATTCCTTGTATTATGAAAGATAATCTCAACATATTAACATACATGAAAATACACACCTAACAGAGTTTCAAGATGTGTTCATTTTAAATTTTTACTTAAATATTCTTAAACATACAATTTTTGGCAAAGTTTTACTTTGTCGGTCCTGATACTTTATACAGAAAAATTAGGTGTGTTTGCTGAGAAGGATATAAAAGTATCTTTTCTCTATGAAAGAATAAGTTTGTTTTTAAAGAAAAAAGTTTTTTTTTTGTTTAGGCAAGAAATATTAGCTTCTCTAATTTGCCAAGATACTTGGAATGTACGGCAATTCTAAGCACACATTAACAAACATACCTTCCTAACATCTGAGCTTTTAGGTTCTGTGGTCCAGGTGATGATTCGAGACACTGCTAACCTAGTTTCACTTGAATTTACAAAATCTCCTGGATCCATCTGTTGCGCAAGTGTCTCTATGTACTTAAGGATTGCAACTTTGACCTGCAAAGAGAAATAGAGTCAAGTGGACAATAAAAATGGTGTGCTGCAAGAGCAAGTGTGCTCACAGAGTAGAGTGTTCATTCCCTAAAATGAAGATGATTTTTTTTCCAATTAAAATAAACATCTTTTCAGCATTGATATAAAACTCTATACAATAAATCCATTTACAAATGGATGTAACATTTCAAGAAGGGAGTTATTCCACAGAAATTCAAATATTAATAGAAATCTTAGATTTTACTGGTAGCAACTGAAAGATACACAAATCATTGCATATGCAGAAGCTTGTATTTAACAAAAAGAGAACCAAGTACTCAGAATATTTAAGAATATTCAGGATTGTAAAGAATTATTCAGAATTATTAAGAACTTTTTTCAAGTACCAAAATGAAAAATTAACATCATCTGATGAACCAATAATCAGTTCCTATTAGGTCCTACCATGTAGTTAACACTCAGCATTCTTCTATAAAACACCAGAGTTCAGCAGTCACTATCTTTGGGGATAAGCCACATGAATCTTCCCATTAAATACTAAAAAAGTATGGAATAGAATTTCTACAAAAGACTTAGAAAGGGTCACATGCACACTTTTCCTTTAGAAGACAGAGACATGGATTTACCAGGAGGACAGAAAAACTGCTTTACTCCCTCATTTATCTGAGCATCGTTCTCCTACTCCACCAACTCCCTCTACTCGTTAAGCAGAATTACTGTTTTATACATCCCAGACTGCAGCCTCTCTCTAGCTTCTCCAAAATTGCACCACTGCACAGCTTTGGGCAAAGGGCTATGATGCCTGTATCTTCCTTAAATATTTATATCCTCAACTCCTGCTGCCTCAGAGATTTGTCATGCAACCCATCAATAAAAATGGTGAACATTTATTTAGGCCACCTATTTGACTTAGCTGCTTTCATTTCCATTAATGACTGTAGTGAACCAGAAATACCTACCAGGAGCAAGACACCTATGTCCATCATAACCAAAGACAAAAGTTCTGGGTGTATTTTTAATTGTTCACGTCTTGTAGTACAACTGTTCTGAGCAAAGCTATTTAGAAATTTCCCTTAGTCATCAAAACTTGCAACCTATTAAAAACTCAAGATACACTAAGTGACACACACATTAGTGATAGCCGATACATGTAGATTAATAATGAATACTTCATTTTCACAGCAGTTGCTAAAGCTCGACTTCTCCAAAGTTATACAACAAGCAGCAGCTGGAGGCTTTCATCTCATGCAGATCAATGCAGTAAAACCCACACTATTCATTAGATTCTTTTGAAGAAAAAAAAAATCCCACAAACATCTCCGCAGCAAAAAGCCTTAGGCTACATGGTTTTCCAAATACAAAGTAATAAAGTTAAAATTTCTAGATTATCAAGTGAAACCATTACGACAGCACTATGTTTCACTGTTCACGATTTAAATATATGTAATATCACACCTTAAAAAAATTACTGGTAAGAACTGTAACACTTAGAACATCCAGAGGCATTTCTCCCAATGAAAAAATTCTGGAGTACTGTATCCGAGAGAGCAGTATTATTTAGTGTTTAAACTACTCCCACAGAATAAATCGCACAGACTTCTGAAAGATGGAGGCTCTCAGGAGACAGAAGAGCACTGAACAGAAGATGAATAGAGAGAGTTCGCATTAATAAAGCTCTTCACAGTGAGACAGATACCCAAAGCTAAGTTTGACAGAGAGTGTTTTTCACAAATTTGCTTGAATTTTGAAGAAATTCTGGAAGGGGTACCCTTCTATCCTCAAATATAACAAGACAGTATTATTATGGATAAAAAAAGCACCCTGAAGTAAACTCCGTAAGAGCAGCAAATCTACTTACGATGTATTTTTGTCACTATTTCCAGTAAGTACATACAGAGTTGAGATTTAGAAATAAAAGGTCTAACATAGTTCTCTTCAACAATCCATTTAATCTCTCTGAGAGAGGAGATATACAATTTTTGACTGCAATGAAAGCAGCTCCAGGAATTCTTACAATGAATATTTGCTGTTAATCTGAAACCACTGTCTATGAAGTTGTTTAATACTGTCTTGACTTTCTTTGTACTCTTCTAGGTTGAATTTATTGTACTTTTGCTGGACTATAAAAGAGACATTTTTCCTGTAAAGCATATAACGCAAACAGACTTTTTTTTTTTTTAAGAATAGCACTGCTGTAGTAAGTGAGCTGAAATACAGATCAAGCCACAATTAGCACTATTACTCACAAAAAAAAAGATTAGACATAAATGGAACTAAAGTGCTTCATAACTGTCTTTCACAGATAATGAAACGACAAATTCTGGCACAAAAATATGTGCAACTACCTCCAGGGATTCATGAAATACTGTAAGGATGCTACACAGTCAGTGCCAGAAGGCAAATTGTTTTCCTGTCCTGTGAAACATTTGAGATTTACAGAGTTTCATTTGCTGCATCAGGGTAAGACAAAAGAAACATTTCACGTAACAGGAAAAAAGAAAAAAGGAGAGAGGAATGTAGAGAGGCTGCTTTACTTAAACCAGAAAAAAGTCCATCTCTTACAGTGCTTTCTTGGGACATGAGAGACTCTACTCTGCCTTACTCAGACTGAATACAAGCAATAACGCAAAATGACTTTCAGATTGCCAGATCCCAGATGTCTGTCCCTAAGTTACTGGATACTTAGGAGCAACTGCCTCTGCCATTATTCAATCAAATAACTAAAACATACACTAAAGATCAATTTTGAAGGGCTCTCTCATCTCTGTGAATCTGTGTCATTGGTTGGTTGGGTTTTTTTTTATCCAGAAATTTTAATACGGACTTAGAAAAAATAAATCTTCTGATCAACTGCAGCAAAAACCTTTGTCAACAAATTAGTATTTTCAAAGGAAAGAAGGGTTCAGAAACTTGTAATGAACTTTGGTCACAAAGCTTAAATCAATTCCTCAGTGAGAGTGAGCCATTTGATATTCAACCTGAGAAAAATGAAAGTGATGATTTGAAGTGTATTTCAGGACAACACCCATCCCTCGGAAAGCATATGCTCTGCACCTGTGAAAATAAACTTAATAGATTATATCCCATCTAGAAAATTTGACTCCTATGCCCATCCATATATTTGACCAAAATAGATAAGTGCATCTGGCACCTCTAAACTGTGTTCACCACACCTACATGTAAAATTATAGCAAAAGACAGTAAGATAGTTACAGCACAATACACCGTGCTGCATCCTCCATGGATTAGGTCAGTAGAATTACATCTCTGCTTGGTCCTCTTACTGGCTAGCTATCCAAATCCACCTCTGTGGCTACTCTAAAAGCTTGACTTTTATTGTTCTAGACTTAGCTGTATTTGTAAGTGTAAGAACGACAATTAGAGTTTACTGTAAAGGATCGTGATTATTTGCCACTACCACATAAAAACCAGAGGGAAAAGTCATTTGTAGAAGGGAATCCTTCCACGGAGCAAATTTCTGATCCGTCATCCCTTCTTATATCTGACCATGTTTAAGGATGCTGAAAATCCTTTCTCTGATTTTTCCTGTCACAGTGAATGCTGTTTCTCAGTATATCTAGCCCAAAGGCACACTCTGCAACAAAATAATCATTTATCAGAGTAAGAACAAAAGCTGAAGACTTCAAGAAAGGGAGTAGTGCCCTAGGATTATCACTTCTAACATCTTAACACTTATAACATCTGTTAGACATCTGGGTGCACCGAGGATGGGATTTAGACAAAATATTCAAGAATGTGGATATTAAATAGATACTTCTGCAATTTATGTTCAGTAACTTTACTGTCTGGATCCTGAAGTTGTAGTTACCTCATAAAGATGGAAATAGGGGGTTGATAACACTTCTGAAAAAAAGCTTACCTTCCCTTAAACAGTTACATACTTCACTGTCTCAAAAATTCATTTTAAATATTCTTGATTTTATTTCAAACTAACAGATGTTCTTCTATGGAGGTAGTTTTTACTGACATCTTGATTTCAGAAGTCTCTCTGAAATACTGGAAATTATTTTCAGAATGTCTTCCCATTAAGCGTTTCAGATTTCTTGATTCCTTCTAGGTCGCATAGTGAATATTCTTGAGCTTAGCCCCAACTGAGCTTAGTAGTCCACTTCTTGTTCCAAATATACACTCTCAACTTTGAAACATGATCGATATGCATTTACCAGCTATACTACTGTACGGAAAAAAAAGAACATCTCAACCATCACATTCACCTTCCTGGGGAGGAAAACCAAGTAAAACAAAACCAAGCCCAATTTATTCGAAGGATTTATTTAAACAACAAACTGATTTTTACTACCTCATTTGCTGTCTTCAATAAATGACAGCAGTCCCTTTTTAACACAGCTCTACGAAGCAACAGTGGTCAACGTATCAACTGTCCTCAAAAGCTTAAAAATGTAAGTTTTACTGTATTGTAGACAAAAAAGGCATATTCATGTGACTTTAGATTCAACATAACTTAGGAAAAGTCATTCTTGTGCAGTATCAAACTATGTACAAATATTTCGTGCAGGACAGAGCAGAAAATACCAGTTATCATATGCTTGTTATTTCCCCATTTACATCACTTCTAGATCTTCTTAGGATTTGACGCATTTATCCTAAAATCAACTCTCTTTGCAACTGTAAATGTACTACAGAATACATTTTTATTTTTCAGTTATACTGGCAGGTCTATGGACTACAGATTCTTATGTAAAAATGTATGTAATTATAAAGCTACACACTGCTTTCAGAAAAGTAAGTGTACCACAAAAGGAGCTGATTTTTAATATAGTAACTCAAGTTCATATTAATATTAAAATAATTTATATTAATTCAAGACCTATCAGGCTGGATACAGGAAAAAATATGTACGAACTAGGAAAACACGATTGGGAAATCACAAACATAAAATTAGAAAAGACTGGATAGAGTGAGTTTGCATAACCAGCTTGATGTTAGGCGGCCACATTTTTGTTGCTCATTTTGGCTGTACTGTGGTTTTATTAGATCTCTCTTGCAGCAAACATTTTCATACTAGTGTAATGTTTAAAATTGAACATCTGCATGCTTAAAGTTTCTCGCAAAGGTTAGTAGCAGCATACGAATGCATTCAAATAAAAATTATTGGAAACACTGTAAGAGTTTGACATAGGGTTAAGAATAAAGACAATAATTCAGACAAAAACCTTTGAGCTCCAAAAAGAGCGAAGCTGGTCCTGTAGTGCTGGCTTGACTGTCTGAAAGTTTACAAAAACAAAATCCACTAATTGAAAACCTTTTTTTTTTTTTTAAAAACAAAACAAAAATAACAATCCAAATTCAAATATTAAGACAAGCAAATGTCTGTCAATGAAGATTTTTGTTTGCAATGCAAGCCTGAAAATTCTTACCTTCAGGCTAGGTGTTTGGGTCTGGTCAACAGTAAATCTCATTAAAATACTGAACTGAAGGTCGTTTGGAAAAGATTCCCTGTAAAACAAACAAATCAAATTGTGTTAAGTTATGTGAAATTTTCTTTTAATACCTGTTGAGAGGCACTAAATAACTCCTCACTCTTTTCAGTAAAGAGGAGCTTTAGTACTTCTAAAAGAAGAAAATTTCTACAAGTTTTGTTGATATTATATCCTACTTTCAGAAACATTCACCTAGCATGTAAAGGACAAAACGTAAGAAATTCCTGCTTTGAAGCAATTATAGCTAGAACAGATAATGCAAGTAATAAGGAATGATATAATAATGACACAGTAGTATTCTGATTCTAAATCTATGCAATCCCCAAATTATCATGCAGTAGTACTGCTAAAGGTATACACCACACCCCCCCTGCATGCTTCTCTGAACCATCCTGTTCCACTCTGGCTGCCTCCACTCCCCCGCATGCCACACTCCAGGTATGGCCCTCAAGGGCTCTACTGCAGCAGCAAAAAAGAGGTGTAGCAGATCATATTCTCTCTCCCTGCAACACACACCATACCCTTCTGCAGATTTCACAGCAGATCTGCCGCATGAATAGGTTCAGCGGAGGCCTAGACCGCTTAGACTGTCCCATACTTCAGAGAATGGAGGATGAAAGTAGGTCCCAGAGTCCCTCCAACTCTACTTAAAATTCTTGCTTTCATTTGGAAATAAAACTGGCCAGGGATGGGCAGCTCTGATGGCCCCCAAAATCACATAAGATCATTTTGGAATCAGGCTATTAGTGAAGTTTGGGGAGAGTGGAGGGAAGACAGAAAGCAAATCCATTATTGCCATAACGCCTTAAAAGCCTGCTGACACCAAGAGATTAATATTGCAACAATATTTTTGTACCAAAATAAAGACACAAGCACTGCATCACTGAACGCAAGGCAAGACAACAAACATACATGGCTCAGATGCACATTTTGGAATCAGATAAGTAGTGTCATATTAACTGTTCAGTATTAAGGACTCAAACCCTTTCAACTACGAGTTATTTAGGAAACCAAAACGCTTAAGCAGTGAGGTTTACTGAAGTTTCACAATCTGTTATTAGCTCTGCATTTTTCCAAGAATCTCATAGCACACTAAAAAAACCCAGTAACTTGGAAGTAGCATGCGGGTTTGGATTTTTTTTAGGGTTTTTTTTAAAGTGTTTTTTAATTTTTTTTTTTTTTTAAAGAACTGATTACCTTGTGACATCAAGTGCCTTCTGAACTTTCGCTTGTACAGACCCAAGCAAATCAGCACCCATTTTTTTCAACAGCTGTGTCAGCAGTACAAACAGCCAGTCCTGCAGATCTTCTTTATGGACCTGGATGAAGTCCACCAGTGTCTCCAAAAACATACTGAACACCTAAAAGGCAGAAGATGGAAAGAGGGTAGGATGGGGCAAAAGAGGAAATGACACTGACGTATGCTGAACTTACAAACAAAGAAGAAAGCAGTAAGGGAATCAGAGGCAGAGAAAGGCAGTGTTTTGCAGCCAAGCAGGGGCGGAAAAAAAAAAAAGAAAAAAGAAATCTGTCTTGCTTTTTCATTGGATTTTAATACAAGAGTACATTGGAAATGTTAGCCGACTTCTGTAGAAGTTTGACAATTAGGTATTCCATGCAGTTTCGTCAAGAAAAGAAATGCTTACTGTGATGGCTGGCGCAACCTCAATTTTTTCAGTAAAACTTAATTTTTTTACCTTTTCAAGCTTTATCATTAAGTTGATTTGTCATATTCCTCGAAGACTACGAAAACACTTTCTCTCTAAAATCAAAAAAGCTGCTACAATTCTTTAGCAAAATATTCATTGTAAGTATCTGCATTACTAAATACTGCAAAATCACGAAAGCTGGCCAATTCCTTTACATAAAATATTTGTGGAACAGAACAAGATTCTCCTGCTACTGCAGGTATCCAAACACAAAATTATTCAGCAGAGTAGGGAAAAAAGCCACAATACATTTCAGATTGGCAGGTTTAAAACACAGAAGTACGTTCATCTTTTCAAAAACATGTTATCCATTGTGTTCTTCTCAACAAATAATGTTGAATACAATAAATACAAATAATGTTGAAAAGACTGCATTCAGTAAAAAAACCAGACGTATATATCGTATTTATAGTAACCTCAGCACTTAAACCAGGAAGAAGGGCTCTTTGGAGGGAAGGGGTAAAGCCAGGCATGACAAATAGGTAACTTGGTTTAAACAGTCTTTTTAGTATCTCACTACATTTATGTTTTTTCAAGACTTACGGTGAAATCAGGATGTATATGCTCTACACCGGTGTGGCCCATGGGTTTCCCATTTCTCTAATAAGAAAAATGGGTGTTTGGGCTGAAAATGCTACCTTCACAACTGATACCCACTCCAGCTCCAGCACATAGCTAGGTACAGAAGCAGAAGTATTGGTATGATGCAAAGAGGGTTGGAGAGATATTGCCTCCTGAGTATTTATGACATGGGTACAAGGTTGGAAATAGCTGCTGCGGAGGAAGGGCTGGAACCCCACATCCTCCTGCGGCTGACCTGGCTTGTCATAAGGCCAAATTCTGCTGCTGTCTGTGCAAGCGGATGATCCAAAACTGTGATCATACCTCACATAGCTGCAGAAGCCAGTCCACGGAAGTGGGCTTTCTTCTACAGTGCTGACTGAGTATGGAGGAGTTGGTGCATGCTGCTGCATGCCTTCATCACTGAGGAAATTAGATCTCTCTTCGTGTTGATAATAAAGCCAGGCTAAGCAAATTCACACCATGAAGTGAAAAAAATCCATACAGGTATCTTCAGAAGAAGTGCCTCAAAATTTACATTAGAAATAAAAAATAAATTCAGATTCTTTCAGGATCTAATAAAGACCAGGGAGAATCTTTTAACAGACATTTTAAATACTGAAAAGCTGTGTTAGAAACAAAGCAATACAAATCCTACTCAACATAAAGCCCATCAGGATGAGCTACTTTAATTAACTTCCCTTTTGGGGCAAACTACATTGAAAATTGTAAATTAAAAAAAAAAAAAAAAAATTGCTAACTCCTCTGCTATCTGTCTAGATTTGTATTCAAGTCTGAGGTTTAAAAATTTCCCTCCGAGTAGGGAAATTTTATGCTCGGGATTGGAAGTAAGGTCTTCTGTATTCAGCTGAACTGAAACAATATACCACCTTGTGGATGCACAAGTAGTGGGCACAGTTATAAGATCTAGCCAAAAACAAACCAAAAAGTACTTTCTGTATTGTAATATGAGTGTCTCTGGATTTCACAGCCCTAAAATAAGGAGAAAATACACTGAACTTAAGCAAACAACAACAAAAATTCTGGTGCTACAAAGATTACACTGGGGTCTTAAAACTGTATTTAAAACCCTTCAAATTAAACTATACAGTTCAGCAGAATTTAAAAACTGTACCTGTTTCTTCAAATTTGCAGATACTGACGCAAACGTCTTTTTTATTAAAACGTGCAAGCTGAACAAACGGATTACAACCTCTTATTTGATGGAGTAATGTGAACTTCTTATGACACTTTAAACATGTAAAGTGGTTTAAACGGAAATCATTATGAAGTGAATTATGAATCACTATGGCAAAAGTACTCTAAAGATCCAGTGCCAATGTTTTAGCATTAAAAATACACATAACTGAGGACTCAATTTTGTTTTCAAGCTTTGTTTGACTTGAGGTTTACCACAGTGAATGTCTGGAGAAAACTCAAATAACTTGAGTCATTTTGTTGCATTTTAAAAAAATACGAATCATACCATTTCATCTTAGGCCAAAGCATGAAGAATTCAAGAAGGTTGTAAGAGCATTTAAGGCAAAGGAAGAATTTGGAATGGAAAATGGAACTCAACCACTTTTATGTTGAACAATGTATGCGAGTACTGCAATTTTTACAGTTTCCATTTTTATGATGTAAATTAAAATTCTGAAATCAAGCATCTAAAGTTGAAGTTTTTAATAATTTGATAGTGGAAAAAATAAACAGATATGAAAATAACTGTAAGTGATCTACCTCTAACGTAAATTATTTCAG